GCGACTATCCGAAATACTCCGGACCTTTCCGTAGGTGTCTTCCAATTCTTCTGCTTGTATCGGATTTACAATTTTGGGGTGGACCTACTCTCCCCTCTTGCTTGTTTTAGGTTGCACCTCCCGACGACTCGTGGTGACTAATCAACTCCGGGTACTCAGCAGGGGCTATATGGGTTGCAGAGAAGTTGCATGATCTGATCTCGAAGCTTTTAGTTGCGAGGCACAGAAAAGCCGTGTACAACGCGGAGATTGTTGTATAGCTCGCCCATCGTAAAGTTCTGACACCTCAAGCCGCACTAGCAATATAGGGACTCATAGTTTGACTTTCTCATCGTCTAAGCTAAATCACAAGCACTATTGCCGAGCTCGAATAGGGGTCATTCAGCAAGTCTACTACGAGCTCTGTGGCAGATATAGTTTATTCGAATGCACTTTATACGCAATAGTAATTTTGTTGAAGTGGGATAATAAATTGACAATAATGAAAAAAATATCCAAACACGATTATACTATGGCCTACTCGGTGACGAGAGCGGACTAAGGTATACAACTGAGCCGGCGGCCAACATCAGGCTTTGTGAACTATTGCTAGCGTGCGAAGACTGAGATCCCAGAAGATCTTAGTCGAAAATCTACATCTTCGGCAGCCAATCACGTCTTTTCGCAAAGCCATTTTCGCAGATAACGAACTATTTCAAAGTGACATCAGGAAAGAACCTCGGATATAACGGTTGTAACTTCGCTAGGTTTATTGTGTCTTCAATAATTTGTAATCGACACTCAGCTGACCCAGCCTTCGTTTGATTACTAGGTCTTCTCGCCGCAATTGTCTCAGCGTGGTTCATGCTCATCGAGCGCTCTACGCCATGGAATAACCAGGCTGTTGATGTCTCGTAACACGGCTTCCGATCCCATCGTATCCACGGTTTGATCCTATTGGTTGGCGAAATCTCTTACAGCAGGACCCCCTCGTTCTTTAACATCTTTAGATAATTGAGCGCATTTAGCTAATATCGTATATCTGATCTCGCTGATCTCGCTCGATATCTGTGTCTTTAAGTGAGCACGAGAATTATTTAAATACGCGAACCTCTCTAATGCTCGTGCATCAGGTCTTAGCCATTCAAGTATGGGGTAGTGGGAACACTCTAGTGTAGCTACCCATGATTGTAAATGAAAATTTTTTTACTTAATAGGAGTTGGGTTGCTCTTTTCTTCCATTGTGGGTAAGAAAGACGTTGCAAGCCTGAGACTCTGGCTGTTTCAGGCTCCTCGGGTGCTTTCAAACCAAACCTGTTTGCTCACAATGCTCTTTTAACGTCTTAGTTGAGATTCCGGGACCTGTAGATTGTCGGAAAAGGGCTTTAACCCTCCATCTAAGTGTTCAAAAAGTGCCTTCATTTTCCCCGAGAATGAAATCAATCACAGCTCTGATAACTCTTGCAGCAATATGTACTCCAAACGCTCTAATTCCCAGTAGGAAATGATTCCATCTTCCTCAACTATCTGCGTCTCTTGATACTTAGCACACTCTGGTGCAATTTGAATGCAAAGATATGCTTTTCGAATATCCGAGAGGAGGTGATTCTCTCGGTGTTTACCCTCTTTGCTGTATCCTCGCAATTGTCGAAGGTTGGCATCACAAGTTATGTGTTCTGTCTCATTGTCTCATAACAAGTACCTATTGATCGGTTTGTAGGTGGATGTCAAGTCTTCTTTTCGTGCCGGCTTAGTATAGCGCTGCTGTTGCCAAAGGCGTAACCCTTCTCGCCAGAGTTTGTGTGTTTCTGGGAGGTACTTACTAAATTGTTGTTTGTATACCGGTGGCCAATGCGCGAGCTCTGGCTGCGTCACTTTTCCATATCTAGGAACACTCCCAGAATTGAGAGCCATCTGGACGCCTATAACGGACCACACTGAAATCTTTTCTTCGAATATCCCCCGTAGGTACGAGATGGTTACTTTGCGAGGTAATCGCAAAGGCAGAGGTTGACTAGGTTGATATTGTTCACGATATGTCTCCGGCAAGGAGTCCGTGCCACGGACACAATAAAAGAGGGGTTACCTCCTTGGTGTTGTTTGAAAGCAGTTCCTACGACTGCATGTAGCGGCCTTTACCTTTGGCTTTTCCTTTTTTGCCTCACTCCCCTTGCCTTTTTCCTTTATATTTTCTTCATTTTGGGAATGTTAAGAAAACTGGCCCTGTAGGAGAATATTGAGTAGTTGCAACAACTGTAACAGCCGTTTTTGACAAAATATCATCATAGGCGTTTCGTGCCAGGTGAAGCAACTGACCACATCCTGTCAAGCATACATGACAATAGTTAGGCTTTCGATGAATGATTCTCCGAGCGGAGGTTGTACACATAGGCTTTTCAAACTTTATCGTGGGCCTTCAAGTCAGGGAATGATTGATGGACCATCTTGCTCACTCGGACTACAGCAACATCAATTGAATCAAAGTCCGAGAGCTGCAACCGGTACAAGCCTTTCCAAAGTTACCATATCGACGGCGAAAGGCATCTTGAGCAATATCTACTTGAACATTAGCAGGCTTTGTCGATTGGCCCAATACAGTAGGGACTGTAGAGTACGATATCGGGATGAACGAAGACTTGCGTAAAGTGTTCAGACCGCTCGAATTTGTGCTCGGGACCACTTCTTGAGAGCTTAGCGGAGCGTTGCGGCAGTGAGATCACCTCAGTAACGAGAGACTATGCAAACCTTGAACGCGCCGCGAAGAGCACACAATCTGCACGTGCATACGCACACATGCGTGCAAGATATGTGTGCGGCCATCCCACGGAACTTAACCTAACAACTCCTTGTTTCCATGTGCAGCAGCAATGCACCACTGGCCTGATGCGCTTTGACCACACCCACCCAACCCGGGGGATGTGTGCCGGGCCCGTATCGGTGTGCAACAAGTGAGACCTAGTTCGCACCATGCGGTCCCTGCCACATAGAACCTTCGGCGCATTCGTAGGTCATGGATTCCCCGATTGCCGATCTACAGATTAGACAAGAAAACTACTAGTCTGAGACTAGTGACAACGTTGAACGTTGCTTGATTGGCAATCTCGCGTACACTTGGAAATCCAGCCTTCGCTGAATGGCGCAGGACGCCGACTATACCGAGGAGAAGACCTTCAACAACGCCAATGTGTGCCAATAACCTGCCCTTGTATAGCCATCAATCTCATCCTTATAACTCTCCCCTCCTTCAGGCTTCAGCTTGCCAATCATAGCACCAGAGTAGTTGTATTGTTGTTGGCGGGTCCTCTTACCATTCTCATTCATGGGAATCGAAAACTCGAAGCAATAACGTTGTTGAGGTACGTCACGGTCTTCATCATCTGGCTCTCGAACGCTCATCTTATAATCAGAGCACTACTCACCGACTGCCAGTTCTTGAGCTTATCAATAGCAGCGTCTACAGCGTCTACAGCTCTTAGATTGACGCAATACCATCACTGGGAGACTGGCACACAGTGGTATAAGTCTGGTTCGACCAGATATCTTCACCATCATTGAGTACGGCCACAAGGTCTCCGTGATAATCTTGGAAAATTTTCAATTCGAGCAACTTTGGAGGCTAAAACTGAACCATCATCTTATCATCAAGGATAATCTCAGTGCCTAGACGCTTCATACCGTCTAGACCAATGATGGCCTTAGGACTCAGCTTGTCTAATACGAGATATTGTAGAATAGGGTCGCCCAACACTGGTTTATCTGTTGAAAGATATAGTTTGAAGCATCTAGTAGCTTTAAGAGTCGTATCATTCACCTGCGATGATACATGAGGAGTAGGAAGGTCTGCAATAGTGGTCGACAAGCAAGAACATATTTCTTCAGCCAGGATACTATCAATGTACTTACGCTTCGCACCAGTATCCAACGCCTTAAGAGAACAACTCTAAGCTACATTGGCAGGTGATGCGGCCTTAAAATCTACTGTCATGGAGTCGAAAATTTGGATAGGCTCCACATAGTAAAAGCCCACTGCTTTGAGAGGATCGGTCGCACTGTCAGTTACGAGATTGTGCATAGGGCAATTTTTAGAGATATGCCCTTCTCGTCGACACTTGTAACATATCATTGTCCGAGTCGTAGAAGGCGAGAACGAAGTAGCCTCACCAGCTGGCTTCGGAGTAGGCGCTATAGTCACAGTGGAAATTGGACCAATATCAGAAATATCCTTAGGACGCGTCGGTTCACCACGTGACGTGTCCTTGGTATGAGCATACCTGCACCGATCACCGAAGCGGCAAGCATCTGTGCTCGCAAATGCTTTGCACTTGCCTCTATTTTTGTCATCAGCCTTTCGGTTTATGGAGTCACTGCTCCTACCAAGAATACCAAGCCGATTCATCTCCTCTTCTCGACTAATACTCTTAGAGATGAACTGGTCGACCTTCAGGTTAGTACGGTCTAATGCCCATAAAGCGAGCTTCAGTCCTCGTCGAAAAATAGCCTTGACTTCATCATCTTTTGGTGCCATATCCAACAGCTCACGTTCAGCACGCAGATCTCTCAGTCACTCAGCGAAGTCAGCCACAGACTCATCTCGTCGCTGCTTCAGGTTAACCCAGTTCATGAGCAGAGGCTCTCGTGTCACCTGGAAGTCATAATTAGTCGCTCTAGTCCACCGTGTATAAATCGCACTAGAATAAGCATCATATGTTCGGGGAATATCACGCATATCATCGAGCCATAGCTTCTTCCAAACAGCATGGTCACAGCTTCCTTTGAACGGGGCAATCTCCGGGAGATTCTCGCACATATTAGACTCTCTCCGGAAGTCCTTCAAAGGGAGCGGACGACTAGTTGCATCAATTGGCAAAGTGGTCGATGTACTTAGCACACGCTCCCCCTTAATAACAGGAGCAACAGTTAGGCTCTCAACTCAATTCTCATTGAAGTTCAGCTCTAAAGACGAAATCAGCTCACTATGATTCGACATAGAAGTGAGTGTGAGTCCATTACTCACATGATAGGCTACCGCATATAGGAATGCGCACACAGCGTCCAAATACTTAGGCAGTTTAGTAGAGTCTATAGTGTTAATGTAGCCCGATCGGAACAATTCCTCTGAGACATGAGCGTACACGGTGTTCTGAACTACAGAGTCTCCAGAACCCTTCTCCTACTCCTCTAGCTTCTCATACTGGGCGATCCATGCACCTGAGCGAGACGGTTCAAGGACCAGAACAACCTTAGACTGGAAAAACTGAAAACTGGTCACGTTAGTGTCGAAAACTCCAACCGTAGGTCCCTGCATCGGAGCCAATTGTTGGAAATCTTCACTAAACGTGAACGCAACGAACCTAGAGGACATATCAAAAAGCAATACAACTTATTTATCTTACTTATATCAAATAGAATGACCTAGCCAGACTAAACTGAAAAGGCTTAGTAGGATACGGTCACACAAAGATGGTCTTGGTAACGCAATTGGATACAAATAGAGAAGAATGGGAGAATCTAGCTACTAAACCTGACAGCAAGTAATAAAAATACTGACTGCTACAGGCTTCGAGCGCAAAGCGCCAAGTGATAAAACATCGCTGGTAAAAGCATAGAAAGTTCTTTAATCAAGTAGTTAAATTGCATGGCTACGGATCGGAAGGTCCGTGGGTCGAATGTCCTCAGATCGCCCAAGTATCTATCGTACCGAACGCCCATGATAATAATGAAACTGCTAATGATGAAATCAGTCATCACTAATCAATACTATTGAGATCATCACAAAACTCTGGGAATTTGAGATCTAGAATACATGTCAACTCACCAAGATCAGCACACGAAGCTTGCACCCCAAAATTCTAATTCTAGGGCGGCGCCAGGCTGAGTGACTCACATTAAGATTGGCAAGACTAAGCAAGTCCCTCGCGACCCAAATATCACTGATATAGTTTGAATGAGTTGTCGGTCAAGTAGTTGAAGTACAGTGCTGTCGACCGGGAAGTTCGTGGATCGAACCTTGCGCCCGTCAATCTTATTCTAGATTGATGCTAGGAGGAGTGTCTCATATTGAGGTTGGAAAGACTAAGCAAGGTTCTTACAATCGCTGGATGGTTGTAAATTTGCACGATGTGCGGTTCAGCGCGGAGTACGGAACCCTGCTAATGTGTGATTAGGCTACACCGTTAGTTTGATATCATTTTGTCACGGGTCTACTGTGTTACGGCTGTTATATTGCTTTGTGCGAATTATGGTCTGTGTACTCGTGCTGTCTATTATTCTTGCGTGAACTCAGGCGTCTCATGCACGTTAAATTTTAAGGTTGGTTCTGAAGTTAGTTCTTCGAATCTTCCCTCGGAACCTGAACTTAGGCACAGGGTCTAAGGTATACGGTTTCATCATTGTATACCTGCTAGTCGCTACGCTTCCATCAATAGCTGAGGGATAGTATATTTGTCAAGTGACAGATATCGAGTTCAATAAGTTATGGTACTACGTAAGTAATACTAAGTAATACTCCCCATTTGTGGTACTGACCAGAGGTCATAAGAGCTCTAATACTATAGTGGATTACACTGATCATCCTCTACCCGTGTCTAGGATGGTTAAGGTCAAGAGCTAGGCCTCATGAGGCCCATGAGATGCGGTATGAGAAGTCAATTGAGCCTGGTTTGCACATGCATTCGGGTCTCGAAAACTCTGCTCACCGCACTTTGGCTTGCATGGTCAACAGTCCAGATCCTCGGTGAAGCGCATCACGAACTTCGTGAATACATAAATCGCAAATACAGTGATGACAAAACTACGTGGCCTCGCAGCCCCCACAGGAGGCTCCTGTCAGGAGCTAGAGATCCCCCGGAGCAAAGCGACGGGATGTGCTAGTACTATCAGACCTAACGACCAAGACTAGCACCATCGACTGTCACTGTGACGGATGACTACGTCAGCAGCACGAACTGGACTGAAGGGGGATTCTACGTGATAATGGGAGGGGTTGCACAGAGGTACATCGAATGAGTATGATGATGTGTACTCGCCCAAACGAGTGGCCAGCACTCTTGCACTCTTACACTCACTTACTCCTCCCTTATTTTATTGGCAATGAGCGCACAGCAAGTTTGCTCTACCTTGCCCTTAAACACAATCCTGTTGAATTATGAGCGGTATAATCGAGTCAGAGTTGGATTTCGACCAAGAACGTGAATCGGCCAAGGATTTGCCACCAAATGGTGCATCATCCTATCGGTTCTTGAACAACGTGGTCACGACCATCAACAACGACCGTGATGTTCAACAGAGCAAAAATGCGCTCTCTGAGACTGAACTCAGGAAGCTACGGCAACCAACAACAGCCACTCTCACTATTCTTGGCGTTGGTACATTCGGCTCATATGGTAATGTGACTGGACTTACCCTAATGTCACCCAAGGGGAAACCCTTGATACTAGACGTCAAGACCTGGCACAAGGAGTGGGGGTTTGCTAAAGAACAGTGGTCAGAGCCATCATTGATGTGCAAACTCCATCGTATGTCCTTGGCGAAGCTGTCCTTCCCTCTAAGAATTGCTATACTAGTCGCCGTTCACCCCAAGACACAAGCACAGCATGTTTTGGAGATTTGCCTGGCCAATATGTCCCGGTTGCCGGCTTGGACTACCATAGATATATCTCTCACAGACTGTACAGATGCCAAGAAGGCCGGTATGAAGTTCAACCTTGAGCACTGGTTGCAAGATTGTGCCGATGCTTTCAGCCTGATACTCAGCTACCTCGAGTCCGAGTTCATCCTAGCAGACAGCTCTATGCACATCATCCTCTTACATTGGAGCAACTATTGGGCAAACCAACCGCACTTGGCTCAAGCTCACAAAATAACATCTATCATAAATCGAAGCGTGACTCCTCTACTTCGACACCAACCACAACATGCCAATTTTTCGCGAAGACCGGTCGTTGCAAGTACGGCGAGAAATGTAGATTCGTACATCGAAGTAATAAGGCCGGTGAGTCTCCGGATGCTCCAACCCTAAGCAGACCTCACACTACGCAAGCCAAAAGCCAATATGGACAAACCGGAGCTTTTGCGTCGCCTGAAGAATCACTCTGTCGGTAGTACCGACTCGGTACTGCAAAGAAAAAGGTCACTTCAAGCAAGACTGTCCCAAGCTAAAGAGACTAGACTCGGCGACAGGACCGACAGAGATACCGGAAATGTTGACTCGAAGACTCCTCCTATGAAGGCGTCTGAGACGCCTTCACGGAACTTAACCTAACAACTCTTTGTTTCCATGTGGAGCAGCAATGTACCACTGGCCTGATGCGCTTTGACCACGCCCACCCGACCCGGGGGATGTGTGCCGGGCCCGTATCGGTGTGCAAGAAGTGAGACCTAGTTCGCACCATGCGGTCCCTGCCACATAGAACCTTCGGCGCATTCGCAGGTCATGGATTCCCCGATTGCCGATCTACAGATTAGACAATAAAACTACTAGTCTGAGACTAGTGACAACGTTGAACGTTGCTTGATTGGCAATCTCGCGCACACTTGGAAATCCAGCCTTCGCTGAATGGAGCAGGACTCCGACTATACAGAGGAGAAGACCTTCAACAACGCCAATGTGTGCCAATAACCTGCCCTTGTATAGCCATCAATCTCATTCTTATAACTCTCCCCTCCTTCAGGCTTCAGCTTGCCAATCATAGCACCAGAGTAGTTGTATTGTTGTTGGCGGGTCCTCTTACCATTCTCATTCATGGGAATCGAAAACTCGAAGCAATAACGTTGTTGAGGTACGTCACGGTCTTCATCATCTAGCTCTCGGACCCTCATCTTATAATCAGGAGCACTATTCACCGACTGCCAGTTCTTGAGCTTATCGATAGCAGCGTCTACAGCGTCTACAGCTCTTAGATTGACGCAATACCATCACTGGGAGACTGGCACACAGTAGAATAAGTCTGGTTCGACCAGATACCTTCACCATCATTGAGTACGGCCACAAGGTCTCCGTGATAATCTTGGAAAATATTCAATTCGGGCAACTTTGGAGGCTAAAACTGAACCATCAGCTTATCATCAAGAACAATCTCAGTGCCTAGACGCTTCATACCGTCTAGACCAATGATGGCCTTAGGACTCAGCTTGTCTAATACGAGATATTGTAGAATAGGGTCGCCCAACACTGGTTTATCTGTTGAAAGATATAGTTTGAAGAATCTAGTAGCCTTAAGAGTCGTATCATCCACCTGCGATGATACATGAGGAGTAGAAAGGTCTGCAATAGTGGTCGACAAGCAAGAACATATTTCTTCAGCCAGGATACTATCAATGTACTTACGCTTCGCACCAGTATCCAACAAGGCCTTAAGAGAACAACTCTGAGCTACATTGGCAGGTGATGCGGCCTTAAAATCTACTGTCATGGAGTCGAAAATTCGGATAGGCTCCACATAGTAAAAGCCCACTGCTTTGAGAGGATTGGTTGCATTGTCAGTTACGAGATTGTGCATAGGGCAATTTTTAGAGATATGCCCTTCTCGTCGACACTTGTAACATATCATTTTCCGAGTCGTAGAAGGCGAGAACAAAGTAGCCTCACCAGCTGGCTTCGGAGTAGGCGCTATAGTCACAGTGGAAGTTGGACCAATATCAGAAATATCCTTAGGACGCGTCGGTTCACCACGTGACGTGTCCTTGGTATGAGCATACCTGCACCGATCGCCGAAGCGGCAAGCATCTGTACTCGCAAATGCTTTGCACTTGCCTCCATTTTTGTCATAAGCCTTTCGGCTTATGGAGTCACTGCTCCTACCAAGAATACCAAGCCGATTCATCTCCTCTTCTCGACTAATACTCTTAGAGATGAACTGGTCGACCTTCAGGTTAGTACGGTCTAATGCCCATAAAGCGAGCTTCAGTCCTCGTCGAAAAATGGCCTTGACTTCATCATCTTTTGGTGCCATATCCAACAGCTTACGTTCAGCACGCAGATCTCTCAGTCACTCAGCGAAGTCAGCCACAGACTCATCTCGTCGCTGCTTCAGGTTAACCCAGTTCATGAGCAGAGGCTCTCGTGTCACCTGGAAGTCATAATTAGTCGCTCTAGTCCACCGTGTATAAATCGCACTAGAATAAGCATCATATGTTCGGGGAATATCACGCATATCATCGGAAGTCATAATTAGTCGCTCTAGTCCACCGTGTATAAATTGCACTAGAATAAGCATCATATGTTCGGGGAATATCACGCATATCATCGAGCCATAGGTCCTTCCAAACAGCATGGTCACAGCTTCGTTTAGTACAATAAAAAAGTAACGATAGGCGCCGCGAAATGATCACATCGATCTTTAACTTCATGTCGTCACCGTGTAGCAGACCGAGGGCCCCGTTCACCTTTGAACGGGGCAATCTCCGGGAGATTCTCGCCCATATTAGACTCTCTCCGGAAGTCCTTCAAAGGGAGCGGACAACTAGTTGCATCAATTGGCAAAGTGGTCGATGTACTGTTAGAGGAATGTTGAGGGCAACTTTTTAGTCCTTTAAGTTTATAGTGATCTGCCAAGGCCTGCTACCTCCTGCTACCTTTGTTGTTTGTGCGTTTGCGTCTGCGTGCCAACTTGCACGTGTACACAGCTGTGGTATCAGACTCATTGTAGCACGATCCACATTGTAGAGATCGGTACTGTAGCCATCTTGGCTCAAGTTCTGCCTTGTTGGGTTCCGTCAATGTCCACCAACCCGCAAGCGAGCGGACTACCTGGCGTTAACATGGCGACAGCGGCATTTGGCAAAGCAACCCTCCCCACCCTTGGCAGCCGCGTCGACCTTGCCCATCATATCCACATCGTCGACAACTGTTTGCTAGAGTGTGGTCTGGCAACGTTGGATACTGAGGGTAAAGTGTGCATCAAGCCCCAGAGCAAGTACGTAGCAATGTCACGCATACTAACCAGTCTGTCAACGGTTAAGGAAGTTGCGGCGTCTGCTCAACGTGCGGCTACTCGGTTCGATTACGACTGGGTTTCGGTGAAACGGCTCCTTACTCGCCAGTATTGTAAAAAGGAGACTCTCAAGGCCGAGTACTCTTCCCAGTTAACGAAGCTAAGGCTTATTTCCGAGTCCGATGACCCCGAGCCATTCATTGAAAAAGCTACTGAGTGCTTCGCCCTGTGCCAGCGTGCGTTCGACGACGATAGGAGTGAACGGCGAGCCTTCATTCGCGCACTCTGCAATCGACTTCCTCACGACTGTGTCCTCTCAATTCTGAGGTCGGTCCAGAGCGCCCTCCTTGCGAAGGGGCTCAGCGATGGAGACACGGAATGGGAGACATCGATCGCTTTCGATGATTTCGACCTAGCTGCTCGCGAAGAGGCCGACGCGCCACCGGTTACAGCCATAACCTTTTGTTCAGCGCTGAGGAGCTCATGTGGTCTCGCTCGTGAAGCAAGGTTACTGACGAGTTCACCCCAGGTAAAAACAGACGCTATTAAAGCAATTCGTGAAGCAGGAGACCACCCCCAGCGACGCCCGAAGTTCTCTGAGAAGTTCCCTTTCGTGGTCTATGTCAGTGGATCCCTTGTAGACGATCGGGATAAGTTCCCTAAGTACATCGCTACGGTCAAGCCTACTGACTCCTTGCGCACGAAAAACAAGAGGGGGAAGCCATATGCTCTTCTGGGATTCGCTACGGAGGAAGCAGGGTCGTCGGCGCTGGCAGACCTTCAAGCTGATCGTGGGTCAGGCCTCGTGGTTCGTCAATTCCAGACCGATCCGCCAAAAAACGGACCGGGGCCCCGTCAGTAGCTAAAGGCGGGGCCGGTTATTCATCTTATGCTAACCGATCTTTTGCTTTTTCGCCATGTGTGAGGGTTTCTGCCTCTCCTCCCTCACGCAGGACTGTACCAATTTCTGTACTATCTAATGATCGTCCATCAATTGATTCTCTAGCACAACCAGCGTCTTCGTCTGTATCATCGTCGTCTTCAATATCTGTCGAGACTACCCAAAAAGCAACCTTGCCTGGGTATGAACCTACTATTAGCCAGTTGATCACTGGTGCTCACTCCCGGGAAGACTCCCTTCATTGGGTACCTAACCGAAGTCCCGCACTCTCGGACTCACCCTGAAGATCCGCATAGGCGAGAGTGATGTCAATCGAGCACTAGTCGATAGCGGAGCCGGATTCAGTTACTTGATCGCCAGGGATCCAGGCTCACTGGCAGGTCTCGAGGGTCATGCTTCCCCGCGACCTGTTCTGCAATCTGTCCGCTTAGCAGATGGCTCTCTGTATCATGTGAATACCATATATGATGTATCTCTACGAGTCTATGACGTTAATGCTCACCCGGTCATAGACACGGTGGTGCCTCTACGTCTTCTCGTGGCTCCGGCCGCGCGCCCGCAGATTCTCATAGGTCGTGATCTCATTGAGCGATGGGGTTTATGCATTAAAGGAGCCACTCAAATCGTGAGCAGGTGCGGTGAAGTCCTTTATCAACGACCTTGCGACGAGAAGCAATTTGCTACCCTAAGCCACGCCCCAGTGTTAGCTAATGTATCTGAGGATGATCGGCAAGATCCCTCTGCACCTCAGACACTCGCAGGGTACCAACCCGACCCTAATGGCCAGGAGTTTATTCCTGTCATCGAGGACGAGCTCCGTGATGACCTAGATGCATGGCTGCTGGATCTTGTTGAGGTCGGTGTGCGACAGTTCGGCCCGGGAGTAGAGGGTCCGTATCGCATGCAACTGCTCCCCATGGCAGCGGGAGACACTCGCGATACACCCTTACAGAAATTCTACTTCCGCTTCTCCCTTCCTCCACCAAGCTCAGCTTCTCCAGCACGGCGAATATACGCTCGTCAGTTATACGACAAATTGTCCGAGGAGGCCAAAGTGAAATATCGCCAACTCATAGACGATTATGTTCAACGCCACTGGTGGCATCCTATAGACAAGTCCGGCCCTTTACCTAGCGATCTAGCTCCAGCTGAGATATTCCTACTCGGTGGTCGGTCAGAAGACAAACGGAAGCCGCGCCTTGTGGCTGACTTCCAGCCATGCAATCTACAACTACCGCCGAGTAGCACATCTGGCATTGCCATAGATGACGTCCTGCTAGTCATCCGTGCTCTGAGTCCTGCGTCTCTCTTCAGCTTCGACGCGGCCTCAGCATTCTATAGAGTGCGACTCAATACTAATCGTCCCGTTCTGCTGCATACGGGTCTAGCGGAGGGATCCCAACCCGATTACTACAGCGATAGAGCTGCGTTTGGAATATCATCTGGTCCCCAGGCAATGGAGGCGAGCCTGGGATGGTTGATACACAAGTTTGGGAGCTCTCCTTTCGCGGCGTTGCTGATACTTCTCGCCATATTTGTCGATGATGGCATTGCGGGAAGTTCCGATCGGAAGATAGTACGAGTTGCATTGTCGCTTTTGTACGCCCTATCGGTATGTGGATTTGGATGCTCCTTGCTCAAGATGCAGTTTATAACTGCCTATGCCGACCTGGTCCAGAACGGTTTCATCGAGCCTTCCGCTGTTCTACTGCATCTTGGCTGCTCCTTATCATATATTGGTCACTCGCTACGAGCCTGTTGTCAAAATGAAGCACGTTTGGCCGATGTGCTCTCTCTCTGTAAGGCCTGGCAGGCAGCTGGCAAAAGAGCTCGCCTCGACAAAAGAGCGGTATTCAAACTAGGGGGGCAGATTTCTGTCGACCCTCTACATCTGCACGGGACATGTCGTTTGATAGGTGACTGCTTTCGAAGACTCATTGGTAGGGCATGCTCGTCGATAGGATGGAACGAGCCCATAGACTTCGAGGCGTTCACTGAGCCCTTATATGCCGCATGGAGTGAGCTGCTGCAATGGTGTCAGGACGAATGTGAATTAGAAAAGCAACGCTGCGTCCACGATATCCCCTACGAACTCGGAGCTGTCGAGAGCATCAATCTTTCGGTCTTTACGGATGCCAGTCAAAGCGGCGGTGGTTATGTGATCTTCAAAAAAGGTACCGACGGTGACCTCTATGCGATTGCGAACGCCGCCTTCGGATGGCGCCAGCACCAAACCGTTTGGCACTCTAATAGGCGAGAGCTCTGCGTCCTCTTGCGAGCTCTCAGGGCACTAGTAGAGTTGTGTTCTAATATCAAAGCCATGTGTCCCAACCCAACTCTGAAAATCAGCGTCGATATCGGCTGTGATAACAAAGCATCAGTTGCGTGGGTTAACGACACAGATTTTTCCTTGCGGGAACATCGCTCGAAGAGCTCCATCGCTGTGGAGAAGAGGGTTATCCAGAGGCTTGTGTTAGCCGTAGCCGAAGAATTTCGTGCTCTGCGTAAGTTGCAGCCCTCGGTTACCTATAAGGTCTATCACTGTCCAGGGGTCATGAATGAGATTGCAGACTCCTTAAGTCGTGCTCTTGATCGGCCATGCGGTGGTTCTGGTCCCTTGCTTTCCACAATTCTAGCGTCGGTTCCGGGTATTGATTTTTCGGGCCCACAATTAATTGACCACGCCGTAGCTCAAGCCGAGAGACCGTCCTCAGATGATGTCTTCGTAATACACTCGATAGAGGAGGAAGTACAAGATTCGTTATTCCTCCCGTGTCCGTCATTAGATTTTACTACCATTAACGATTCTTGTGATCATTTGCTGCGGATTTCTCTTTATCATCCCATCATGGCAGAGGCAGATACTACTACTGCAGCCTTGGATGCGTTGCGCGTGTTCGACGAATTAGAAGAGGCAGGCAGTGATTCCGTCGACACCGTTACTTTGGTGAAAGAAGATGCCGATGAAGGATTCCTACTCGACCGCCTATTGGAGTTCAATAGCGTCAAGGCTATCTACAGGATGGTCGCCGTGCTACGTGGTATCTTAGTCTTCTGGAATACATATTGCGCATCCAAAAAGCGCTATCCTCTGCGCCAAACTGCACAAAGGCTTGCCCGGAATGGCAGTCGAGCTCCTCCCCAACTCCTAGTACCGGCGTGTTTACCAGTTGGACTGCAGAGCTCTGGCTACGATGTCACAGACGTGCTGACAGTTATCAGGTTGTCCCAACAGTTGGATGACTTTACGAAGAAAGGCCGCGCTTTCGTTTACGACGAGCCGACCGGCCTATGGTACTTTCGGTCAGGTACTATCACCGGTAGTACCCTCCGTCGCCCTTCTGTTCCCAGAACTGCCAAAAGATTCAGATTCCTCTTGGCCTTGGATGCTCATGCCCGAGCCGGTCATGGGGGTGCTACACCAACAGCTACATTCATGCAAGAGGATGTTCATGTCATTGGTGCTACTACAGCCGCTAAGGACGTCTGTCGACGTTGTCTTCCTTGCGCTAAACTCCGGTTACGTATGACTGCGCTTAGGTGGAACGCGCCTTTAGCTGGCAGCCACTGGGACATTGATGAGCTGCTGAGGAATGGCAATCCTTACTCAGTAGTTTGCATCGACTTTTTACACCTGTTCCCTGGCGAGCTGGTGTTTGCTACGAGGTGCATTACCACTTCTCATGTATCATGGTTTCGCTCTTCATACTCCGAAGAGTGTGCTGCTGCTGCAGTGGAAGGCGTTAAAGATCTAATGTCCCGCTGGGGAAAGATTCGGGTTGCTTACCTGGATCGTGGATCAGCATTCACGTCTTCCGAATTTGCTGACACTCTCCGAGAGGAGGGCATTGAGCTGAGGTACCACGCCGCCAGAGCGCCGTGGGAAACCCCAGTCGAGCGATCTCATGCAGTTGGTCTGCGGATGCTAAGGCTCAATTATACCCCCCAACAGTTGGCGAGGTCATCCGATCAGGACATGAATCGAATTTATGATCATGTATCCCTTCTGATGAATAGTATTCCCATATGCGTCCACTCAGCAGGTCCGGATGATCAGGATGTGATAACTGCAGATCGGCTAGCCCTCGGATATACCCGCTCTACCGGAATCTTACTGCCTATGATTGAGTCCGAATCTGTAGCAAATGTCCATATCGACCGCCCTCGTGCGGTGGATAGCATTCGCCGCACTTTTCTTCAACATCATTGGCAATTGTTACGTGATCGATGTGCTAAAGCCATGGGCAAGAAGCGAGGTGTTGATACCCCTCCTCTTGCTCCAGATACTACTGTCCTAGTCCGTGTAGCCCAGCGTAATAAGCTGGACGTTGGCGTTCGTATCGGTCACATTGTTGATGTTATTAACCCTTCTCGTGATGGATATGTTAGGCGTTACAAGGTGCGCTTTCTATCTGGCACCTTGAGTGAAGAATCGCACGTTAATGTGATTCCAGCATCGGTTCATAGTGCCGAGCACTGTTTGCTCGGCAGGGGGGCATGTTAGAGGAATGTTGAGGGCAACTTTTTAGTCCTTTAAGTTTATAGTGATCTGCCAAGGCCTGCTACCTCCTGCTACCTTTGTTGTTTGTGCGTTTGCGTCTGCGTGCCAACTTGCACGTGTACACAGCTGTGGTATCAGACTCATTGTAGCACGATCCACATTGTAGAGATCGGTACTGTAGCCATCTTGGCTCAAGTTCTGCCTTGTTGGGTTCCGTCAATGTCCACCAACCCGCAAGCGAGCGGACTACCTGGCGTTAACATACTTAGCACACGCTTCCCCTTAATAACAGGGGCAACAGTTAGGCTCTCAACTCAATTCTCATTGAAGTTCAGCTCTAAAGGCGCAATCAGCTCACTATGATTCGACATAGAGTGTGAGTTCATTACTCACATGATAGGCTGCCGCATATAGGAATGCGCACACAGCGTCCAAATACTTAGGCAGTTTAGTAGAGTCTATAGTGTTAATGTAGCCCGACCGGAACAATTCCTCTGAGACATGAGCGTACACGGTGTTCTGAACTACAGAGTCTCCAGAACCCTTCTCCTACTCCTCTAGCTTCTCATACTGGGCGATCCATGCACTTGAGCGAGACGGTCCAAGGAGCAGAATAAACTTAGGCTAGAAAAACTGAAAACTGGTCACGTTAGTGTCGAAAACTCCAACCGTAGGTCCCTGCATTGGAGCCAACTGTTGGAAATCTTCACTAAACGTGAACGCAATGAACCTAGAGGACATATCAAAAAGCAATACAACTTATTTATCTTACTTATATCAAATAGAATGACCTAGCCAAACTAAACTAAAAAGGCTTAGTAGGATACGGTCACACAAAGATGGTCTTGGTAACGCAATTGGAGACAAATAGAGAAGAATGGGAGAATCCAGCTACTAAACCTGACAGCAAGTAATAAAAATACTGACTGCTACAGGCTTCGAGCGCAAACCGCCAAGTGATAAAACATCGCTGGTAAAAGCATAGAAAGTTCTTTAGTCAAGTAGTTAAACTACATGGCTACGGATCGGAAGGTCCGTGGGTCGAATGTCCTCAGATCGCCCAAGTATCTATCGTACCGAACGCCCATGATAATAATGAAACTGCTAATGATGAAATCAGTCATCACTAATCAATACTATTGAGATCATCACAAAACTCTGGGAATTTGAGATCTAGAATACATGTCAACTCACCAAGATCAGCACACGAAGCTTGCACCCCAAAATTCTAATTCTAGGGCGGCGCCAGGCTGAGTGACTCACATTAAGATTGGCAAGACTAAGCAAGTCCCTCGCGACCCAAATATCACTGATATAGTTTGAATGAGTTGTCGGTCAAGTAGTTTTGTAAGGAAGGCACGACTAGTTTGTGCCAACATACACGCAGTTGTTGGGCGAGCGCGAAATGAACAATGGATACGCACAAACACCGTTGTACGTAGACGCAAGCACATAGGAGTCTCAGTCTTGATTCTAACATCCCTTTTTCTTGTTCCCGCCCTCCCGGGACATAGCACGCCGAGAAAGGTTGGACCTCAACTTTAGCTTCTCTTCGAAGTACGGTGCTGTCGTCCGGGAAGTTCGTGGATCGAACCTTGCGCCCGGCAATCTTATTCTAGATTGATGCTAGGAGGAGTGTCTCATATTGAGGTTGGAAAGACTAAGCAAGGTTCTTACAATCGTTGGATGGTTGTAAATTTGCACGATGTGCGGTTCAGCGCAGAGTACGGAACCCTGCTAATGTGTGATCAAGCTACACCGTTAGTTTGATATCATTTTGTCACGGTTCTACTGTGTTACGGCTGTTATATTGCTTTGTGCGAATTATGGTCTGTGTACGCGTGCTGTCTATTATTCTTGCGTGAACTCAGGCGTCTCATGCACGTTAAATTTTAAGGTTGGTTCTGAAGTTAGTTCTTCGAATCTTCCCTTGGAACCTGGACTTAGGCACAGGGTCTAAGGTATACGGTTTCATCATTGTATACCTGCTAGTCGCTACGCTTCCATCAATATCTGAGGGATAGTATATTTGTCAAGTGACAGATATCGAGTTCAATAAGTTATGGTACTACGTAAGTAATACTAAGTAATACTCCCCATTTGTGGTACTGACCAGAGGTCATAAGAGCTCTAATACTATAGTGGATTACACTGATCATCCTATACCCGTGTCTAGGATGGTTAAGGTCAAGAGCTAGGCCTCATGAGGCCCATGAGATGCGGTATGAGAAGTCAATTGAGCCTGGTTTGCACATGCATTCGGGTCTCGAAAACTCTGCTCACCGCACTTTGGCTTGCATGGTCAACAGTCCAGATCCTCGGTGAAGCGCATCACGAACTTCGTGAATACATAAATCGCAAATACAGTGATGACAAAACTACGTGGCCTCGCAGCCCCCACAGGAGGCTCCTGTCAGGAGCTAGAGATCCCCCGGAGCAAAGCGACGGGATGTGCTAGTACTATCAGACCTAACGACCAAGACTAGCACCATCGACTGTCACTGTGACGGATGACTACGTCAGCAGCACGAACTGGACTGAAGGGGGATTCTACGTAATAATGGGAGGGGTTGCACAGAGGTACATCGAATGAGTATGATGATGTGTAGTCGCCCAAACGAGTGGCCAGCACTCTTGCACTCTTACACTCACTTACTCCTCCCTTATTTTATTGGCAATGAGCACACAGCAAGTTTGCTCTACCTTGCCCTTAAACACAATCCTGTTGAATTATGAGCGGTATAATCGAGTCAGAGTTGGATTTCGACCAAGAACGTGAATCGGCCAAAATTTGATCGTGATTGGCCACCAAAGATGCCCACTACGATCGGGAGGTCTGCTGATCCGGATCTATCCTGGACTCGCTGTCCCATATGAGGATTCATCTTCCAGCTCTGTATACTGTCATTCTCAGCTATTTGTGCTACCATGAACCCTCATAATGATGAGAAAATCGTCCATTGTACTCAACTGGATGAGGATGATAGTGCTTCGAGTATAATACTCATTGAAGCTATGGAAGAGGAAATAGGATTTGCAGGTGTAATATTGATGGTGGACAGGTTTCTAAGTATCCTGGGTATATTATTATTATTTAATGCTTCTAGCATCATCATCATCATCGATGTCTTATTACTCGGGTTTAGGTATTACAACTTATATTAATGGATCCACAATTTAATCTATCATCATCTAATCCTGCTAGAATGATGAATTGGATAAGACTTGGATTCAAGAAAATATCCCCAAACGATGTTACCACCGTCACGATGTTACTCGACCTGTCCAAAATATCAATGTAATAGTGTCTGTCAAGACTCTTATCAGTAACCCTCTTAGTTGTCACTATATGAAGTGTAAAAGAAATGATGATTCGGATTGGACATTATCATTACAGAAGTTGACCGTAGTTGCTCTAACATCATCCTACGTTCAGTTAAGTCGGGCGCAGGAAGAGGTAGTATTACCGAAAGGTTGTGAAATTATGGTAAAATAATTAATGAGATTATAATCCTGGATGTCCTTTCAGATGATTATTAAACATGAATCATTACATGACGACGACGACGACGATGTTGTTGTTGATGATGATTCCTGTGATTGTCGATACATTACACTGGTACAATCAGTTCTATCTCTTTTCATCAACATTTGTCATGAAATGGTCTATGATGATACCGAATTATTAGTAACTCATGATATACATAACTTATTACAGAAGATAATGTCAGTGATTATTGATTATACTAGGGATAATAATCAAGAGATTACTACCATTGTTAATAATAATAGGGAATCATCAACTATGGCAACGAAGCAGTATTATGCTGCTGCTTTATCTGCTTATATGTTGCTGGAACCACGCCAATATGCTACTGATATTGTTACAATAATAATAAGTATGATTAATGATAATGATGATGATGTATGGAATACACTAATACCATACCTTTATCCATGTTATTACCAGTTAGCAGTATCAGAT